GTACGTATTTAGTTGCATGTGAGTTGAAATCATGGGCGCTACGAGGACAACCGTGAATGGATGCCGGGTACCAGCAGAATTCCCAAAGTGACGTCGTCATCCTCACAGACGTTTGTGTGTCATGGTATAAAGTTATATTTTGAATTAATTAAAGCGGGGGTGTCGTCACCTACGCATGCGTCAGATGACCATAGCGTATCTTTGTTTACAAACAAGCGTCTACCTATGAGCCTTTGCGTTTTTAGCGTGTGTTGTTATCATCGATTGGGACTCAATTCCCGCGCGTGCGCAAGTGACGACCCTCCCGCTTTAACTATAAGGGGTCGACCATTTGAAATCATTGGGGTGGCTGGAAAAAAATTACACCGGCAGAACAAAAATGCTTTCAAGGTGTTGTGTGGAAATTTTGTTAGCACAAGAAAAATAAAATAAATGTACATATTAAGCACCGCGAAAAAGTTCAAGTTGGACTGGTCACCCTCTTTCAGCCAACCCCCTGATTTCAAATGAGTTGCTCCTAGCCCAATAAACTAGTAACGTACAAAACAAGTATTTCTGTGGCTTTCTTGGTACCCTTTCAATGTTCTTTTTCTCACATTGGTGTGCACATGAGTATGGTCCGTTGAACACTGAAATGTTGAGTATTAGTACTTTCTTTCCTAGCATATATAAATGATTGTCGCTGACCCACTTCAGTTTGAACTCACATTACAGAAACATTTATAACATTTTTTTTTTCAAAAGTGCGAAGGATATTCAAAGGTACCATCTTGAATTTTCAAAGTGGATGTTCTGGCGAAGCTCTCCACTATCAAGTTGTAGAGGGAGGAATGTCCGAACAGGACAACGCCGTGCGGGCGGACGATGAAAGGTACGAGAAGCGAAGTTTTTAGCATGTAATCTTCCACGTCCGTCGCTTCTGCCTGCACTATTGACCGAACATTTTGTACAAAACACACAGAGTTCAATGTGAGGACATGAAACCCGACCAAGAAAGTGGACGCAATGAATGAAGCAGTGATAGCGTCGGGTGGTTGTTGTAGTTTACATTATTGAAAGATGGGTTATACTGCCCTACTTTAATTTACCGCCCAGAGGAAAGGTTATGCATGCTATCGTCATGTGATGATCTAGCTGTTGACAATGAGATGCATGCTTTCTTAGATTGCAGGAACCCAGAGATGGAATCTGCTAGGTGCTAATTCATGAAAGCAATCTCAATGCACAAAGAATTTCAAAGTTTGCCTAAGTTGAGTTCAAAAGATAGTTTGTCTGGGAGTCAACAATGTATTTACATAAAATCTTAGAAATTTATGCTAATTGTTAAACATCTTTATAATTTTAATTTTTATTATTGTTGTATTTGTTGTATTTGTGCGTTACTATGTTGGTTTTTGGCCATAAGTTATGTGATTTCTTACATTATTTCGAGTCAAATAAAATATTCTATTCAAAGATGCATATAAACGAGAACAAATGTATACACGTGGACCAAAACGGATTCATTTGTTTATTTTTTTACTTGCAAGAGTTCGAATGGCTGACTCTTAACATATAAAACAAGTATTTCTGTGTCTTTCTTGGCATTATTTGAAAGGGCACAGGGTTTCATGCAGTGCGTGTTCGAATTTCATGTAAATAAACAATGTATTTTACACGCGTTGTATACGTCGCTATGAGTCTCATATAGAACAGGACACGACGTGACGACCACCGCCCAATGTTTGTTTTTTTTTTTTTCTGACATTGGTTTGTTTATGAGTATGGTCCGCTAAACACTGAAATGTTCAGTTATAGTTTAGTTAGAATAAAATAGTACGTATTCATTTCCATATTCCCCAGTTGTAGTTTCCGGGAGTAACCATGTATGCTTGGACGGCTCGGACGCTGCCGGAAAAAAACTTTGCTCTCGCATTGGACGCCATGAACTAGCTGAATTCACGTAGTGACGTCACCATTTTCGTGTACGTCATTCTATTATCTTCCTGTGCTTATTATGGTGATGATGCTGGAATATAGGAAAAATCATTCGGCGTGATTGTGGTTTGCGTAATTTATTAGTTTACATCACACCCACGCCGGGTACGGCGGGACTATGGTTGATTATACGCTTTCGTTAACGACGCCGGGAGTACATTTGTATACTAGTACACTTTTTTTTTTAATCCCGTGTTTACAACATGTGTTCACACGTGGTAACAGTTTGTGAATGAATGAAACCGCCATTTTTGAGGCATAACTGGTACATGGTATGGGAGACGGGGTGTGTGCTCCCACGCGGCACGCCGACTCCCACTCACGTCGTCATTGGAACCACCCCAGGCGATCAAGTGCAAAGAAAGACAGTCAATATCAGTAATTTAATTGAACAAAGCCATAAACCGTCTGCCGCTGCTGTTTTCATCCCGGTGATATTGGATTTACTAACATCGATGTGTCAAACACTTCATCGAGTCCACAGGAATAACCTGAGAACTCGAAAAAAAAAATTCATAGTGAAAATACACGTTCTTTTAAATTAGCTACATCTTGAATTAGCGACTTACAGATTAGCTAAAATAACATGCTAGCTATAAAGACATGTTTTACATTATTCACCATGAGTAATTGGCGCGGTCTACGTACATAAACATAACTGACCTTAAAATATCTAAATAATTGGCCGTGTGCCAGGGCTTGCGTACTAGGTCGCAGGAATTTTCCATCACATGGCCAGGACTACTTGGGTTAATAAGGTGAGCGTAGAATCTTCCCCCGCAATCTAAAGTATGCCAAGGCCGGAACGAGAATTCCATAAGAAGCATCATCGCACATCTGGCAAACATTCCAGATCTTCTTCCTGTATTCGCATTTAGTTCCTTGTTAAACTGTGATGGGTACTTTCACTTTCTTTCCGGGTTGGTGCCACATTGCTGATTTAAATTTCAGTTCGAAACTGTTTTCAGTCTCAAAATCAATTCAAAATAGAGAAAAAGAAAACTTGTCCTATATCGAAACCTAATGTGTCGAAAGCTATTTAAAAAGATAAATGAGGTTTTAAGTCGGAATATTGTTTTCAGGAATTTCGAACCACTGCAAAAAGTTGTGGGATGTTTAATAAGATTTACATTTTCTTTTCTTTTTTTCTCTTCAATTTCCAGCGAAAATCAAAGAAAACTTCGAGAATAGCACAAATAAAATTGACTAAATCTGTTATCCCTGTAGCCACCAATGAAGGGGTCGTTACTAGTGATAACTTTGAAATAACATTTATAACATTTATTTTCACGAACATTCAATAGCATCTACAAAACAAATCGAGGTTTCCGTCGCTAAGTGTGAAAATATATTTTAACTCTCGTAAGTTGAATATGGTCATCGTATAATGGTTTTATTATTTTTCTTATTTGATAATTAATAAAATTACTATCAGCGCAACAAGGGCATTCACTTCATCTTTATGAATATTTATAAATTTCCCAATTCAAACTGAAACAAGAGGTTTCTATTGGGAAATTGAATAATAATGGAACGTTTTTAAATGACGTCGTACGTCACTGAATTACTGATTTCACTCAACTGAAATTTATAAATATTTATAAAAATGAGGGGAATGCCTTTGTTGCACCGAGAGTAAATTTAAATGAAATATTAATCTGTTTGATTTTTTTTTATTTGTTGCTAGTGATTTGGATTCAGTTTGGAGAATAACTGAGGTTTATCATTCCATCGTGATAACCGATAAAATTGTCAGTGAGGCGTAAACTTTACAATCTTTGGTACTTCAAGACTAATTCCGTGTATATAAAAAAATTAAGTTGATTACAGTTTTAAAATTGGTATAGGAGTAAGGATGTGTCATCAGTCCCGAATATTCAAATTGCAACCGTAACCGACTAATGTTATTTATAAATATCACACAACATGAAATCCTCATATAAACACATTAACATTTCAGATTCCCAGTTGTTCTTAATAAATCATTAAATAAATCTTTAATTAGGCGCATGACGTAATAAGGTAACATTATATTTATGTGCGAATTGATACCGCAGCCAACGTAAAAGATGATTTTGTTGGGCATGGTGAATATGAGAACGATGATATAATATTATTTTTTGGCATATCAGAAAAAAACAAGAACAATCCAGAAAAATAAGTCTGACATATTTCAGACAAAAGCCACACAACTTCAAGTTCAAGACGAACACGGAATTCCAGCTATCATTGATCTATATAAAGTCGAAACATAAGAGGACTAATGATTATTCATGTTCAACAACTTCCGGCGCCCGACAATTAGAAATTTGCAAAGCCATTACTTGTACCTATGTCTCATATGGAAATCTCAACTTGGAACTAAGAATTTACTCAAACTTTATTTTATTCTTTATTTGAGATTTGTCCTGTAAAACAACAGCCGTTGCGTAGTTACCAAAAACAGATCCGTTTTTCTGGTTGAAGGACGTGTCAATGTTTGAGAAGCAGCGTGTTGTTCGGGGATTGAGATACCAACTTCACAGGCAATCTCGAAAATTAAGACATTTATTTAAACAGTTTCACTTAGAAAAAGAGCGAATTGGTAGGCATAATTACAGAAGGAACCTTAGGTGATACACTATTTCCAGGAACGTGTACGTAATTTGCATTTTTTACAATGTATGTCGCCAAAGTATTATTAATCTGACAGTACCTTTACATACGCTCGCATTCATTCATAGAAAGTTTGTCATTTGCATGATTCATCTTCATGTTTGAGGGGGTTGTTACCTCAAAGCTATTGCAATGAGCTCAATTTTCCATGACTATTTTGTAGTACATTTATGTTAAAACTTATTGATAAATAGATTAGAATGTGTTTTCTTTTATTTTATTTTATTTGGTAAAAGTCAATCACGTGTAATTTTAGTATTGACGGTTCACTTTCCCTTTAGAAAAATGGTTTCGCCGAGCAGCGCGAAAAATGTTAATTTGCATAATCCCATGCTACGCGAAATAGACACATACACTCTCGCCTCCCGGTATATTGAAGACGTGTTTATAATAGTTGTCACCGAAACTTGGAAATCATGGAAATGAAACCAAACGTAGAGGATAAGGTTGATGTCCAATACTCAGATGTCGAGACGGGAAAGGAAGATGAAAAAGAGGATGAGATTGAGCGTGAGCAGTGGATCGGGAAGGCTGATTTTGTATTAGCGTTGATCGGATTCTCCGTCGGGTTGGGTAATATTTGGCGATTTCCCTATCTGTGTTACAAGAATGGAGGAGGTAAAGTGTCTTTTTAAATGTGTATATAAATATATATTGTAATTAATTGATTGATTGACTGCAGCCGTGTGTATTGAATGTGTATTTTTATTTTCACATTTCGAGCATGCATTCGTTCACAGGCATCGTTATCACGTGGCCGGCTTTATATATATACACGTACGCACGCGGGCCCCGGCCGATGACCATAAATGTTGAGTTCAGAAGTATTTATATGTCCCTGTTTTCCTTAGTTTGGCCCCATTGACTGCCAGATTGGAGCAATAGGTTAAAATGGTATTAGCTAGACTTGTATCGACCTCGATAACACAGTCAAAAATCTTCAACTACCGATTTTTTCTGGTAACATGTTATTATGGCTCTTTATCGCACGTCAGTGTTTTTTTGCCTTGCAATGCTTTCGCTGGATCGCCGTCCATTCGCGCCTTTGGCTTGCTTTGACAGAAAATCAACAATACAAAAGACTAAATAAGATTCCTACAAAATAAAAGTACACACCTTTCCTTAATCAAAGCATTGTTGCCATTGTCAACTTGTTCAAGGTTTCGCCGACAATAAAATGATGCGGCTTGAATTCAAGTAATAACATGCAAACATTGTTTCTAGCACTACATATCGGTTTGAGATGCACATTAAAAGCTTGTCTGTACATATATGTTGTTTACATCTGTGTTGTTATGCACTGCATGGCCGGTGTTTTAGTCACAGTGACATGTAGGAAATTTCCTTTGAAAGGCACGCCCCTGCTTGTATTTATCATACTAAAAATATATGTACTTAATATTTAACACGAAAGTAGGATTCGATTGGGTGCGCATATATCATGAGCAAAGCTATAAATAACCTAGTATTTCCATCTGCGTTTGTCATGTCTGATGGTGAGACCGTGCCTAGCATGCTAGAGTTTGTTTTCGTTTTCGCAGTGGTTGTTAAGAATGCGCAGGGACCAGCTCTTTTCATTCTTTTGGGAGGGGAACAATGTGGACTTTCACTATAATAGCTTGGCTAGCAGTTCATTATGTACGAGGTTGTATCAGGACAATGCTTTTTGGGCAACTTTCCAAACAAGTCCAGTCTCGTGGTATGACCTGAATAATTCATGCAAACACTATATAAAATAAAACAGTTCCCTTGAATACATGTTTTAGCACTTTTATAAAGTGGCATTGGTTTAATTCCTTTAGAATTATAATCATTGCGTACTTCTAATAAATTTGGATTAGAGGAAACTTTGTTTTGTAGTTATTGAGAAAAATCAGAGCCGAGATGCAGCTTTTTACTGAATTTCCATGTTTTGATAACAATCCGTAGGACCTCAATGTGAATGTGTAATTATGCAGTTCATTATGAGAGGGAGGGTAGATAGTATTAACTAGTAGAGTTATTATTATCAACCCTATCACAACACACTCGCAAGATAGTTGTCAAGTACTGATATGTTTGTCAAAATAAGTGAATCTTCTCTTCCTGAGTTTACTCTTGGCGCAACAAAGACATTGCATTCATTTTTATAAAATTTTATAAATTTTATAATTTAAACTGAGACAAGATGTTTCTATTGACCAATTGAATAACATTGGAATGTTTTCAATTGACTTCATTGTACACTGCTTGTTGATTGGCTTGTTTGTTTCAACTGCCATTGAAATACATAAATATTTATAAAGATGTTGGGAATGCATTTGTTGTGTTGAGAGTAGCTGCGGGAAATGTTTGTGTTTTGTTTTTCAATTGAGGTATTTGCTTGGGAAGATCATAACATTAGTATATTGGACACAAACGCATGACATAAGATGCGTGATTAGCTTCTACCTTAAACCAAGTGTACCATAAGAACAAAAATGTCAGAGACTCGCTAGATATCAGCTGTCAAAAGTAATTGTTCTTGTACAACTGTGGTGAAATCTATGGTACAATTGGGTTCAGGATATATGGATTTTCAGGTTCATTCGTTTTTGCTAGCCTCTTTCGTATTGGTTCGGCATCCATTCTCACAGGGGTCATAACTTTTGTCAGGATGTTTGACTGAGATAGCAATCTCTGATTTCAATTTTTTTCAATTATGCCTAAATCTTTTTTTTATCATATTGCGACAGTAACTCAATCTTGTTGTTTTTCTCGAAAATGGTTGACTAATTTAATTGTGGCTTGCATTCCTGAAAACTACAGTTGGTTTCATTCCAACATATTTTGCCCACTACTGTTAACGGGGTGAAAGTTGTCTTACAATATTGATACTTGTAGATAAAACAATTTTTGGCTGTAAAAATATTTTCAGAAATAAGTGTATGTGTTATTCACCCATCCTTGTTGACCTTCCAGCTGTATATGTTTAACATATAAGTGAGGTCACTGCCCAGCCCTCCTACAAAGTATGCAAATGTAGCTTCCTAACTATGTGGAATGAATGTGGTATATTATGAGATACCAACAATACTGGATTCCACTTGGTGGTGTTGTATTACTAGGATGCCTTCCCTGTGTTATTGATGGCATTCAGGGATGAATGTGGGGAAGGGAATATTATAGTAAAACTATTGATGCCTTACTCTGTATTTCAGCATGATATTTATGAATTTCTTTGGTAAGGCAGGGTTCCCCCTGGAGGAGCATTATAAGGTAGCGACTCCCTCTATAATTGTAAATAAACACTAGAGCACAATTATTATAACAATGAATTAACCATATGTACATATAATGTTTTGTTTTCGTGGGAAAGTTGTATACGAGTGTACTAAACTAGTACCTACAATCATCTTCCGACTGATTTTAATATGAATTGGTCAGGCCATACCCACTTGACTGCACCCTGTGTTCAAAGGAGTGTTTTGGATCACAATGTTTTAGGAATGTTCACAGTAGCGTTCTCACGCAACCTTTAGAAAAATCTGGATATATAATTACATCATTCTAAAGTGCATGTCTGCTTCCTTCTTTAACTTGGAGCCCTCGTTTTCTCTGCTACATTTACAGATTTTTGAAAATGGCAAAAATTGGTTGCAAGCGCATGAAATTAAATAATGAAATGCTAGTAAACATTTCGTTTGCGCTTTTTTTTTATTTTTATTTTCACCCCTTCCCTTTTTTTATGATGTATGGCTTTTGTGAAAAGTGATTATGACAACTGGAGTGGTAATTGAGTTGGTGGTTGTTTGTTTACTAAGCAAACACTTCACCTGACTTGGCGGGAAACCTTATTCAGAATGGAAGCCTTTACTGCCTGGAATTGGTTTTAAGGGGTGGACCATTTTTACTATTAGTGGGAGTGTTGAAATTAAAAGTAACAACACATCATCTTGAGTAATGACGTCAACTACTAAATGTTGTTAAGGCAGAAGACAAAAGTACTTAAAATGTTGGGATTATTGCTCTTTCATATGTACACTTGACACATTCCTTGTCTTAGCAGGTACTAATTAAGTAGACACTCTTTTATGCCACGTATCTATGGAAATTTCCATTACAGGTTTAACAGTACGCTTAACCCCGAGCAAATAAAAATGTTTTGCAATAAAAGTGCACTAGAATGACCAGGATTATTTTTCCCCTTGTATCGTGTCATTTACTAGTCTCGTTTCGTATGATATGGCACCTGCTTATTAACGTGATCATTGATGTAACGATGTAAAGTCCAGTAATCACTTCTCATTTAATAGCCGTGGTCTGTCTAGACCAGCTGGTTGCCAGAAATATTCACAACCCCCCTAAGGACAAACTGTCATGTGAATATTAATAATTAATGCAAATAACTAATAATATGAAAAATGTTGATTAAGCTTTGAGCATTACTTTCTGAGTTTGTGATTCTGCCAATACACACCCCTATTTCGTTTAGATTTATGACATCATGACGCTGTACTCCAGTGAGACTAGATGGAAGTACAAATCTCAGTATATAATTGGGCCCAAGCAACGTAATTTATTCTACTCGTACCCCGCTCCCAAAGAAGTTCACTTAAATTTATGAAGGGCCCTTTCGTATCCGAGACTACAATTAAGTGTTCACATCATAATTATCGGTATTTACTGCATTCATGTGAAAAAAGTTTAATTCATTGAAGCTAAAGTTTGTTTCATCATTGCTTTATTCAATAGCTTTCTGCGCTGCCCTCTCACCTTTCAGCTTTCAGTGTAATATCCGGTCAGTATATGTTGTAAAGGCAGTGTTGGCTAATTATGGAATGCTCATACCATATTTACTCTATTAGAAGTGCATCTCCAATAGAAACGCATATAAACAAAAAAATTACAATTATCATATGCCTAATCGTTGAAACTTATTTTAACCACAGAAGCGTATCTGTATTTTACACAAACAGATGCAGCACTAATGAGCAAATATAGTATTTGGTTGCCGACAATGAAAATATATGGTGACCAGTGTTCTCCACAAGGGGTTTTAGGTGGGCGGCCCATCAAGTTTTACGTCCGCCTAGTAACTCTCAACACCCGCCCGCCAACGTACTTCCAGCTGAAATTATTTGTAAAAAGCTTGCATTGTTCTTCCCAAGCCTAAACAAAAGAGTAGTTGCCCAACACTTTATTTTGCTATTGTTTCAAGAGTCCAAACATAAACAATGACCACTGGAAGTCTGCAAGCAGTTATCAAGTGTATTCATGGCAATGTGTCAATCGCCTGAATTCATTGTCGCCCGACATTGTTGCCACTTATTGCTCACGATACGCAACTACAGTGGTTTCAATTTACAGCTGTATTTTTAATAATCGTCTTCCGATCACGAAAGAAAGAAGTAAATACGAACGAAATGTATATGCACAGAAAATAAACAAATATATTAGCAGATTGCATGTAAATTCCAGCCGTATTTACAACGTTCGCTCGATTTTCATCGTGAAAACAGCATGGAGAAGGCAAACTGGTGACCTTTTGGCCTATCCCATTCAACGGCCGTCAGTCTTAAATATTATTGCTTGAAAATTATGTATTTGGGTGAGGGGGGGATTTAAGGCAAGACTTGCCCCTAGAGGTTTTGTGCATG